AATAAATAGCATGTCAAAGAAATATACCTGAAAATATTTTAGGTTATATTGTGTTTCCAGTGAGCTTCAGCATCGGTGTTGTGATGAAAGTCAGTATACAACTTAAAATATGAAAATTTAGGCTTCATTTAAAAGCAATCTACATGAAACTAGGCAATTAATGTTTTTACTTCAGTGAACGTGGAATTCGTGGAATTGCCCAAAGTTAAACAAATTAATTACTACCTCCTTACAAGGTGTAGTCTACATAATATGTTTATGTTCTTGCAATTATTAACAGTATGCTGGAACACGATGCGATGTATACTTGTAATTCGGATTTCAGCGGTTAACATAGTTTACATATTACATATGCAGTGTAATTGGTTTATTACACCAGAGTGTACGTATAATATAATTTAGAATTTTAGATAGGTAACAGAACAACATAGAGTGGTGTTTAGCCAAGGAGTATTATTTTCCACACCCATGCGCTGCAAACAGACCAAAACCTGCTACCGACTTCCAACCAACTTGTTGCCCTCACATGTTACACTTAAGGCCAGCGCACACTAGAGCAATATAGATAAGCAATCGAACTCGCGAGCAATATTTCTCTAGTGTGTGGGGGTAGCGAGGCCGATTGCTCAGGACACATTCGCAGCCATAACAATCGACACCATTGTTCTTGTCATAAGTTTATCAGTCGGGTCGCAGTGGTTCATGGTACGTGATCATTATATTGAAATAGAGAGAGGTTACTCTAGTGCAGAGTAGCGAATCCGACTGCTCTAATGTGCGGGGAACACGACTCGCAAGCCATTTTTCTTGTCAGACCGATTGCTGAGCTATATTGCTCTAGTGTGCAGTGGCCTTTAACAGTCTCTCTATTCCTAGAATCAGTCTGCACTCTACTGATTAACAACTTCATGGTAAATAACTATAAATTCTCGAATAAATCTCTGCTACAAACATCAATACACCCGCTCGCCCCTACACTGTGCTACTAGTCGCCATGAAACAAGTTCCCTAGTATTCTACCTTCTAAGACCTACACGTGTAAAACATGTTCTACAGCAGTATAATATGCTGATTGCATAAGTTGACTGCATAAATAGTACTTACATGTATACAGCAGCTTCAATGTAGAATTTCCTTGCCGACTTTGAACGACTTCTGCATGCCAGTTGTACACAGCCACCGGCTATGGCAAAAAGTGAATATTCTGTTTCTTCGTGAAGGTGTTCAACGGTTGCCAATGTTTCTTCTGTTGCTGTCTTCAGTTTGATCAACCGGTCACTGGCTTATGGATAACAATAACATAAATAGTTAAATAGAAGAAACGCTATACAGATGTTACTTTGTGGGATATAATTAGTTAATGCATTATTTACTATTGATTGTAACTCCCCAAACACAATTCTCACTAACAAGATATGTTGAAACTTTATTCACTATAAGAAATCAAATGAAGAAACCCCTTTATTAACAAATAGTGCATGACAAGCACCTAATTTATGGTTACCGTATTACCTTACGGAATACAGCAGCAGCAATTGCATGACCTACTGCATGGGAGTCATTTGGACTAGTGTCAGCAGGAACAAACGTAGTGACCGTTTCTCATTGAAAGCGTAGCAGCTGCCTCCATTTCGATAACGTAGAGTCAGTCTGTCTCAATCTCATCAGAGGCTGCTCCACACTTTACACATGATACATCACTGAACACATAAGTTGCAATATTCAACAATTCCAATTGAAATGCGACGTAGCGTTCCGGAGACTTCTTTGCATAGCAGCTTTCATACAGGTCCGTGAATAATAATAATAAATGGCGTACGAGTGTCACAAACACATCGTTATCATGCAGCACTTTAGCAGCGACTTTCTGTTGTTCGCCTCCATGTTGTTATCCTGCACATACAACATACAACCTTGTCCACTTCCGAAGCAAGCACAGTGATCTCCGTTGCCTCTAATTTATCACCTTTACTTGTGCATTGGCCGCACTGTAGTCTAAGGTCTTTTTTATTGTTTGTCTGGAGCAGAATCCAAGTTGAGCTGGCGGCATTTTGGAAAGTTTTGCAATGTGATCTCCCGAGAATTTGTCACATGTGAGTTGCAAATCCCTGCCGAACCCTGCCAACAGGTATCTCTTGTTCGCGCTATACCATGGGAATGACAGCCACTTGACCATGTCAATCAATAAAACCACGTCTGACGTTCAAAGCTATAACTACATAATAGGAAGAGGTATCGATACACAGTAGTGTGAGGACAAGTTGGATGTGCAGCACTAGTTCTGATGCAACTTTTATTGGATTTCGCGTAATAAATCATAGATAAATTTGGGCATGGAAATGTTGAATTTCTTATGTTTCGAGCGAGCCATAACCCCTCTATTATTATTCACTCCTGATTACATGATGCAATGAACACTGCGATCGTCTCAAACATATGCGCACCTGAATGTCATACAAACTGATTGATGCTATTTAATCACTTGAAAAACAAACTTTTAACTAAACAACAAGCAGTGCTTAGCAAGTAGTAAGCTGGGTTTACACTATCAACTTTCTGTTGAAAAGTTAACGAGTTGATCAACATTTCAACTAATCGACCAACAGTCGGCAGTGTAAACGGTAAAGTTGAGCGCTCAACTATTTGAGAGCTTAGAACATGTTCTATTTTTTAAACTTTTGGTCAGCGAGTTTATCAACTTTTTCCCATGCAGCCATTCAGATAATAGCAATCAGGTGTGTTCCTCCACCCAGGAATTCACTAGATATCTCTGGGTAAAGTAGCATTACTATTTGGAAAAAAAAAAATTTTTTCGAACAAGTCAACATTTTGCTAGGCATAGATGCATAAATGGAAATGAATGGTTGTGTATTTGTGCCATGATTGATTGTGCAAAGTGAAGCGAGCATCGTGCATATTTTTCGGTCACATTCCCACCTGCTCTATATTCTTGTTCAGTAGGCCTAGTTGTTTGTGCAGAGTGGCTATATGCCCGGCAGCCGGCATATATCTGACGGCTGCCGGGCACGGTCTTCGATTTCCTAAATGCCCGGCAGTTTTTAATTTTTAGTGTTATCTCAAGTAAACAAGGGTTAGGGTTAGAGTTAGGATTAGGTTTAGGGTTAGGGTTAGGGTTAGAGTTAGGGTTTTTGTTAGGGTTAGGGTTAGGGTTAGAATTAGGGTTAGGAACTGCCGGGCATTTAAGAAAACGAAGACCGTGCCCGGCTGCCGGGCATATAGCCACAGCGTTGTTTGTGCACAGCGGCGTGCGTGCAGTGTACTTGTGAGCATTTCAACAGCATTCACAGATAACTATCAGCAATATTAAATAAGCACAGTCAGTACAACACAATCAGTCAGTAACAGTACAGTACAGTAAACATAGCCAACGGCAACGTCAGTCACTGAGTCAGTACAGTAAGAAGTCAGTCAGTACAGTAACTGAGTAAGTAAGACTAAGTCAGTAAAACCAGAGTAAAGAAACGTGAATTGGCAGTAAATTTATTTCGTGTTTATTTACCATTATTTTTATTATTGAAACGTCCCAAGGCAAGTGTCTAATCGACGTACGGTATTCCGCTGTTTGTAAACAAGAAATGACAATGTGTAGCCTAAAATTCAGTGACCTGTGTGACGTCGTGTGTGTGTGTGTGTGAATCTCAACAGAGTTACTGACTAGGTAGGCCTATATCATGTGAGTGGAGTATACGTGAATAAAACAAGTGCCGCAGAGCGACAGCGCTCATCTAACGTCTACTGCGGTGACTCTGTGGTGGAGTGGTGGGATTCTAGTAAACCCTGTTAGTTCCAAATGTGTTCACATACACGCCGAAACAGTGGAATGCACAGGGATGGTATCAGGTCATCAGGAACCTTCTAAAAGGAATGTTCGTTGGGATCGTTATGATAGTTGCCACGAGATGGCGCGTACGTTTAAGTGTCTTCA